GCATCTATCCAATCAGACAACACCTTGATTGCATCTATCCAATCAGACAACACCTTGATTGCATCTATCCAATCAGACAACACCTTGATGCATCTATCCAATCAGACAACACCTTGATGCATCTATCCAATCAGGCTACCCCTTGATTGCATCTATCCAATCAGACAACACCTTGATGCATCTATCCAATCAGACAACACCTTGAATTACAGTTCTATGTAAAGATACTCAGGGAATAGTTTCAAAACAACTAAATTTTAACATGAATAGCATAAATCTTTTTTTTACATTAGTGAACATTTCATGCATGTCACCTGACTGGTCACATGTACATCACATGATATACCTTGCATCCTCTTGAACACCACCAATGTACCATCATGTAATCCAACAAACATTCTATTCAATAAAAACTTGATAGATTTTATCGGTGATGGAGATACTTTAAATGTAAATATGCTCTGTCTGCTTGGATCCAGGCAGTTATACACAGAAATCCTAATGAAAAACAAAAACACTTAGCGTTCGACAATTTGGCACTAGAGGGTGATGTCAGTTAAGACTTGAGGTTCATTTGCAGAATTCAATAGCAGGGAGTACAAGTATTCTTCACAGTACCAGCAGGCATTGAGCAAAAGTAAGTTTACATGTTTACTAGTGTATCTTGAGTGTTAAATCAGTGTGACATAAAAGCACTCGGTTTGATGAATGCAAGATGAGAGCAATGTTAATGTTACTGGTGAACTTGACCCAGATGTCTGAAATGTCACTAATAAGACATGCAAGTACTTTGATGTCACAAGAGTGTTCCACTCAGAACACATGCAAGTACTTTCATGTCACAAGAGTGTTCCACTCAGGACACATGCAAATACTTTGATGTCACAAGAGTGTTCCACACATGTATGGTACACCTATGTTATGTTAACTTACATTTGAGAAGTAGGGTACATGAAAGTGTACAGAATTATAACATATAACTCCTAGTATCCTGCCATATAGTATATTTGCCAAAATCTATTACAATTGATCAACAAACCTTCCTGTTTCTGTAGCAACCCACATCGTTGCCTCTGGTAGACAGAAATCTGACTCTGATTGTTTACGGGTCTTTGTTAAAATATTAACTTTGGGTACATATTCCATGCAAGACACCAATGGTTCCCCTGACTGGAACGCTTCCACTATATGAGGTGTAGGTTGGTGAAATGATAGAATGCTTAGAATTGATCGTTTTTGTTCTCCGCTGCTAACCCATATAGATCCCTCATACAGCCCACGCTTGCTGGTTTTCACATGTTGTTTAGGAGACATGTCAGCAAACTCTAGAGGGCAGTAGACAGCAGCTTGAACCTATATAATGAAACAGAACACTGGTGGCAAAAATCCAAATGTAACACAACCACAACAAAACAAAGCATAGCATAGCACAATACAGAAAGACAGATGACAGACAGACAGACAGAGAGAAATAAAACAGACTCTCAATGCATTTTACTTAAGGTACCAACAGGGAAAGTGAGTTAATAACTGATCTATAATTCAGACGTTCTCTAAATACATACTACTATAACAATCATCTGAATGAATATGTTAGTGTATACAGTAGCGTTCTTTGTAAGTTTTGGAAAATGTCAGAAATCACAGATCAGATTTTAACTCATTTTTTGCTGTTACATCTTAAGCAAATATAAGCCAATTAAAATGATACAAAAAATACTTCTTTAAAAATTTTGTTTTAAAAAATGCTGCTTAGACTTCAGAACTTACATAAATATTGCTGCTAAGACCGAAAATATACTCTGTATACTGCTGCTGCATTTGAGAGTTTGACAAAACATTGTTTTAGTTCAAGTATATAAGACATATACATGTAACTAACTCACAAAAAATGCATGCTTATCACATGATAATCAAATGCACGGTACATGATGGTCACATGCACAACACATGATGAGTATATGTCTATCACATGATGTGATTTAACACATATTAAATGCTATTTTGCAGATTAATAATAAAGATATACTATGAGTCACTCTTCTTCAAATCAAACACAAAGTCATGGTTTAGTTAGCCATCAAGGCATTACACAACGTCTGATGATTTCACAATATACACATGTAGTGTAAGAAAGAATCACAAATCTCACTAGTACGGACAAGAATAATTAGTATTTCCATTTCCAGGCAAAAAAATATACAACAGGAATGATTATAAGAAACACAATTATTTTATTTTTTTGTTTTATCAACCTTTGAATAATAACAATTTTTTCACATATTTTATGTATCTTCCACTTGTACAGAAAACTAAAACGTTGGTGGTAAAAATCACAGTGTTTAAAGAATTGACTATTTTTATGTAATTTTCCTTCACATCGTCAATACAATAGTTTTTTGGGGAAATATAACAATGAATAAAAATGTTGTACTGTCACATATATTTCACTAGAAGACATGGAGTAATATGTTACAAGTGGTTTTTAGTAAATTGTGTTTTGATTGAGTTTTATTCCAGCAGCTTAAGATGTTATAAAATGACTGAATCAAGTGCAGGATTTTTAGACTGATGATTCAATTCAAATACAACCACATTGAATTCCTCATTAAGACTTGTCTGCAAAGAACAAAACTAGGTATATAATGATATGGTGGGCTGAGCAAAATCTGACATGGATAATTATTAAACTTGATTCATGACAAAGTTTACCTCGTAAATATTCACAAAATATAGCAGACAATGCGTCTATTAACACATCACCTGATAAAAGCAAGCATCACCAGGTGGCGTGTTCTATAATGGTTAGTTATCAAATTTAAGATATATAGTTTTGTTTATAGTAATATAGCTGGAATATAACCATGTCAGAAATATGATTTTTTAACATTAAAATGATTGACATTTGTATCTGTACTTGTCCATATTGAGAGATATTACTCTGTAACAGCATTCAAAATCAGCCATTTTGAATACATGTATATATATATATATATATATATATATATATATATATATATATATACATATATATCTCGAAGCCCAATCATTAAAACAAAATGGCCGCCAGTCAGCTATTTTGAATCCAATCTGAAAAATAAAATGACGTGCATCAGGAACCTGTAATGTCTAATGTATGTTATAACGTTTGAACAAAATCCATTCATAAATGCAAGAAATGCTTGATATTCGAGGACTTTTTTAGCACAAAAGTAGCCACCATTTGGCCACTTTGAAAAGGATCGTCAAACCAATATATCCGTATATCTATGACAAGATGTATAATGAATATTAAAAATTTGAACATAATTAGTCAAAACAAGTCAGACATATGGGTCTGGAAACCCATTCATTAAAATAAAATGGCCGCCAGACAACCATTTTGAATCTGATCTGACAAATAAAATGATGTGCATCAGGAACCCGTAATGACTAATGTATGTACCAAGTTTGAACGGAATCCATCCATAAATGCCAGAAATGCTTGATATTTGATGATTTTTTAGCACAAAAATGACCACCATTCAGCCACTTTGAATAGGATCGTCAAACCAATATATCTGTCTATCTATGACATGATGTATAATGAGTATTTAAAATTTGAACATAATCGGTCAAAACAAGTCAGAGATATGGCTCTAGAAGCCCATTCATTAAAACAAGATGGCCGCCAGACAGCCATTTTGAATCTGATCTGAAAAATAAATGATGTGCATCAGAAACCTGTAATGTCTAATATATGTACCAAGTTTGAACAAAATCCATCCATAAATGCTTGATAATTTATGATTTTTTAGCACAAAAATGGCCACCATTCGGCCATTTTGAATAGGATCGTCAAACCAATATATCTGTCTATCTATGACATGATGTATAATGAATATTTGAAATTTGAACATAATCAGTGGAAGCAAGTCGGAGATATGGCTATAGAAGCCCATTCATTAAAACAAAATGGCCGCTAGACAGCCATTTTGAATCTGATCTGAAAAATAAACGATGTGCATCAGAAACCTGTAATGTCTAATATATGTACCAAGTTCGAACAAAATCCATCTATAAATGCCAGAAATGCTTGATATTTGATGATTTTTTTAGCACAAAAATGGCCACCAATCGGCCATTTTGAATAGGAGCGTCAAACCAATATATCTGTCTATCTATGACATGATGTATAATGAATATTTAAAATTTGAACATAATCAGTGAAAGCAAGTCAGACATATGGCACGAGAACCACATTCAATAAAACAAAATGGCCGCCTGTCGGCCATTTTGAATCTAATCTGAAAAACAAAATTATTTGCATCAAGGTCCCATATAATGTCTAATGTATACACCAAATTTCAACAAACTCCATCTGTAAACAGCCAAAAAATGCTTGATTTTTATGATTTTTTAACACAAAAATGGCCGCCATTTGGCCATCTTGAATCAGATTGTAAAACAAAATGATGTGCATCAAGATCCTATAATGTCTAACATATATACCAATTTTGAACAAAATCCATCTGCAAACAGCCGAAAAATTCTTGATTTTGATGATTTTTAGCACAAAAATGGCCGCCATTTGTCCATCTTGAATCAGATCGTGAAATAAATTGACGTGCATATGTATAAGATCATGTATGATGTGTGTGTGAAGTTTGATTGTGATTGGTCCAGGCATTTCTAAGATACAGGTCCGGACGCATGCACAGACGCACGCACGCACAGACAGACAGATGCACGCACACACGGACACACGGAGGTCAAAACATAAAAACTGCGTCCGAACAGGAACTAAAAAGATGGCAGTGCAAGTGAAGCAACAAATGACACCATTATTAATTACACAATCTTATGATTTGTGTGATTTTACAATTATATGTATGATGATATAATATGACAATGATACGGACCACTAATTGAGTCTTCATTAATGCATCCAGCAGGCCCTGTCAAGGGATGGTGAATAAAAAAAACAAGAAAATTAGCTAGTAATAGTAATAAGTAATTAGTAATAAGATCTATGTTTTGGTGACACAAACAATTCTACTATGGGAATACACTGACAAACATTTTCTATGGGAGTAATCTGAAAAGCTTTTCTATTGGAGTACCCAGACAAATCATTTCTATTGGAGTAGACAAACCTTCCCACAGGATTACCCTAACAATTTTTTTCTATGTGAGATCCCTGAATTTGTTTTCTATGGGAGTAACCTGATAAAACTTTCCTATAGGAATACCCCAACAAACTTGTCACATGGAAGTAGCTCATAAAACCTTTTCCATGGAGAACCCTGACAAACCATTCCTATGGGAGAATCCTGATAAATCTTACATATGGAAGAACCCTGACAAACCTTTCCTAAGGGAGTACCTAAGAAGACATTTTGTTTTTAAACAAGCATGATGACATAGTGTGTGTTAATTTAAAATTAATAAATGTTCTTACAGAAATGAGATTATGCAAGCAATTTTCACCAACATGTAGACAATGTATGAAACCAGTAAAAATACTGTATGGCATACCTTCATTGGTTGTTTGTGACTTGTTAATGCAATAGGTAATGATTTCATTAGTAAAGGTAAATTGGTATCCACTCTACCGTCTTCATCTGGGTCATACCAAGCAGGGTTGTTTCGCGGTTCTGAAAAACAGAATGAAAGATATTGTTAGAACAGCGCCATCTATTGATGACCTAATTTTAAGCTACACAATACTGAAATGCATTAGGGTTAACCAACACAGTTTTATTGAAAGTTTTTGAAAATTGCTGATATTTTGCAAATAAATTCTTGTGGCTATATATCAAAGATATATATGGAAAAAAAATTAGGTCTCAGACCAAACATTTTAAATAAATGTGTGTCACGAATGTCAAACATTAAATCATGTTTATGTTGTATGTCGTGATGGTGGAATTTTGTGTTTGTTTTACGGCGATAGATAGGCAATGTTGTTTTTGGCGATGGATAATTGTTAAATATAGAGTGGCAAGATGTTTCTTTTAGTCAGTACTAGAGAAGCAGACTTTGATAGAACCCGATCTGAACGTTCATGTGATCAAATGTGGATGTCCGATCTTGTAGGTACCACAGTAAGCATTGAATAATATTCATCATGGGAGTTTGTGATCTATTCTGGCGGACGTAGTTTCGCAGCTGCTGGCAGCCTGTCAAGTATACCAATTTTTACGTGTCTACTAATCACGCGTTTGCAAGTAAGGCTAAAACAATGCACTGTGTATTGTCATACAAATTAATGTATTGTGATCTATGGAACGTGCATCATGAAGATAATTCTATTGGCCAATTCCGACCTACCGCAGTTAACGAGTGGGGAAACTCGCCAGTGAATGACATTCCCAATTTTGGTTCTGAACTGGATGCGCCTTCTAATTTATGTTGCTGGCTACGGATGTGTACTGCGGTGCAAGGGAATCCACCCGGACCACTCTCCTTCTACAAGTTACGAATATTGGAAGATAAACTCTGTAATTGATTGGTATCGTGCTCGACTGAGTGTGCAGCGTGTATTCTACGACTACAGTGCTTCTGACTGCGTTCTGTAATTACCGTCGTCACCGTTAGCAGAGACTCGCTGGAAAATACACCGTTATCACGCAAAGACCCGTTTGCATCTACTTTGAAGAAACTGTATGTAGGTAGGGCTGTGTCCGATCGCCAGTATATTATTTGCGTCCGTTGTTTGTTATGTATGTTTGTCTCTTAGTTTTATGCATGCATGCAAGATTCTATGTTAGACAATTATTTACATTATCGATTTAGGCATTTCCTCGTAATAGTATAACGTAATTCACTACCCCTCTATAGAGGGTTTGGCATTTCTTGACCACCCTTTTCCCCGTGTGGAAATATTACAATATTATTACTGAATTATATTTCTAGTGTTATATTTTTGTGTAACAATACAACGTGTA